GAGCCAAAAGTGCTAAACCGACAAACTTGCTGATAGCAGGGCTACCATCTGATACAATATTAGAGGTAGAACAGGCTAGCAGAACGACGAGTTGCCCCAAGACTACTTCGATCGGACTTTGTGAACAGGGCTGGGCCACTAGCTCATTGAAGGAGTATCCTAAGGATTTTTGCTCTTTTCTTGCTAGGTTGTTCGATCGTTGGTTCAACAGGGCTACTCAGATGTCGGGGCCACCCACGCACGATGCTACATGGCTGAAAGCCATGCATCTTGCAGAGGTCGATGAACATACGGTAGAAGGCCCCGACTTCCACCCACTTTTAATTCAGAATTCAACTCGGCAAGGCGCTGAGTCTTCGGACACCGTGCGCACATAGAAAGAAAGAAAAAAGCTGAATGCTTGAATGATATCCAACAGTTATTTTCAGCCATTTGCACCTGCCTGCAACGTGCCAAGACGTGGAGCTCGAACTCTGACAGCCCAGCTGGAGCTTTGTACCAAGATTTTAGGCAGAGTACAATATAGGGAGAAACACATATATATATTCTACCTAAAATAGGGAGTTGATAGTTGATATTTCTGTTTACTTTGTAGACAGATTCCGTCCAGCACCTGGAACCAACATATACTTTTGTTATGGAATTGTTGCAAAACCCTCAGCGCTCATGTTCAGCTTCCAAGGAACGTGCCAGAGTTCAATGAACATAAAAGGAACAGGTTCTTCGATGTTAGTCCCCACCAAAGACGGCTAATTACTTGTCCAACGCCCATCAATCTGAGTGTGCCTTGTGTACATGCTTCCTGAGACACCTCTCACTAACATGACCCTTTCCACCACCAGTTCCATGCAGTTCCCTTTCTTTTCTGCACGTGAGCGACCGCGTGGTGGACCCGTTGTTGCACCACGGACGGGTCGTTGCTCCCACGGTCTGAGGTGCACACCACGGGCCTTTGCTGAGCTCGGACGCCATTTGGGCACCAACCCCAAGCTGGGTCGGGTTTGATGGCAGGGGAGGGACCAGTTGGCTGACTATACCACTTCAAGGAGACACTCCAGAGTGGAGCTCAATGAGAGTGTCTTTGGGACCTGATTTGTGTTTCAACTGGTGGATGGTCAGGGGGGGAGGGTTTCCTATCCGGAGGTCGTTAGATGTGTTTCTAGAATGGCAGTAGGTGATAGCACTGTGATGAGCGTGCCAGCGCTTTTGGTGGATGTGTTACAGATTTATTAATTATGTAATTTTGGTCTGTCCTATTACCTGTAACAGTCGGTAAACAATTATTACTATTTTTGAACAAGGCCTTTACTAACCATCATCATCCACTGTTACAGGTATTAGGATAGACCCAATATATAATGATTTGAATCCACGGTCGCTGTGTTCTCAGGCTGCCAAGCAGGGCGAAGATGTCGGCAGCTTGCTGCTGTGGGGACCAGGAGACCCTGGCTGGTGACGTGGCTGACAATAGGGTTATTCTAAGCCTGTCTGACTTAAGTACTGTATTAAGGTTGACGACAAGAAGCACTACATCCCCACAGACGAGGGACGTCTGGAGAAGCCCCAAAAGTCTGACGTCACCGAGCAGTGTTTTCTGATGGTCTCACTGGTGCCATCCTTGACTGGTCTGACTGGTGAGCCTTCAAAAGCTGTGGTGTGATGAGCCTTCTACAGGGTGCTCACCTCACTATGCATGGAGTTGTTTCTTTCAAACAGTACAAGTATAAGTTCATCGTGAGCTGGAAGTTTCTGGCGACTCCTGGCAGCATATGCATGTACCAGGGCCCACAAGGCCACAAGGTGTGGTTACTGGAAACCCTTGGCCCTTGACCTCCAAGGGCTATTACTACACCTCTAAGGGGCCCCTGGTAGTACCTTGCTCGGATGTCATACTTGCACCCCCCTTGAAGGATAGGTTTCAGACCCCATCGGCCGATCGGGTCATCCCTTACTTGGGTTCCCAGATAAGTGCAATTTATGCCAGGAGTTCCATGCCAGGATGGTTTTCCCCATCCAGTGAGTGGATGATGTGCATGCACCCCAATCCTCCAAGTTTGGCACCCCTCATTTTTTGGGATACCAAAGCCTCCGCAGTGTTTGTTTCACTACTGAGAACCCGAATTCTAATCTCTTCACCCCAAAAGGGTGGCTCGAAACTGCTTCTCGAGGAGCTTCAGGGCCAGAGTGTTTACATCGATCCAGCTTCATGAGCTACTAGGGCTGGGAGTTGTCCCGGACCAGTGAGTGTTGCCAGAGCCGCAGAACAAAACGAGTGCTGGAAGGGTAAGTTGTGCAGATGAGAAGTTCTGGCGTCAGAAGGGGTTAGCATATATTGCTACATGCACAACGCTTTTTGTGGAAACACATCCAGCACAAACAAAGATACACGGAACACTGTAAATCGTTGCCAATGGTCTTCTTTCAGCAATTGTTGGTGGAGTTGGAGGGGCCACTCTTTTTGAGCCTAACATAGGAATCTCCGCGTTGAACAACACTCACGTGGCGCATACATGAGGGCCGAGCAATGCCTCGTAGGGACGTGCACCCGAGCAAAAGGCTACTTTGTATTCAGAGTGAAATGGAGCGAACATCCCGTGGACATCGGTCAAAGCTGAACACTCTTCAGTACTTTTTACACATGGACCATTCATCCATTGTGGTTCATTTAGGGTGGTTGAGGATCCACATGTTTGTTAAATACATCTCTCGAAGTGTTGTCATCATGTTGTTTTGGATCCCGCTGAATCTTTCAGACATAGCACTATGCACCTAAGAATGCCCAATCAGAGGAGCATCGGCCCAAGCACGTGGTTTCACCTCGGGCGGCGGCATCAGTTGCACATGTGGAATACACTTTGATACTTACCAGTTGCTACCAGGGTCTTCCAAAATCAAAGTCCTGGTTAGCCCACTAGCTGCCCGTAAGCTGTGAACAAACATGGTTTTGGTATGTGACTCATTACACTCCCTGGAAGAATGGAAGTGGATGGAAAGCCCCGATTTCGACCATTTTCAACAGGTGGTGTTCACTCCACGTCCATTCCAGGAAGTGTCAGAGGTCAGGACTTGTTGTGTGCAATTTATAAGTACCATGATGTACCCTTATTATTCCGCGTCGCCTGGCATGCTGGGCATGGCGTGTTGCAATGCCGCGAGCATATGATGTACCCTGAATCATGCTTGTGGGGGCAGGGTATTAACCCAGGAGCCACCCCCCCACCAGACTGTTGTTTGCGACTTCAATGTAATTCGCTGGGCCCCCCGGGTTCCAACTAGGATTGCTTGGAGCCAGGCAGCCATGATGAAAAGCACCTCTTTGGCACACGGAACGCGGTTTACAGAATTCTTTGGGCGGCTATTGATTCCTCGCATGGCCCGAATTGCCAACATCGTGGGGCTGCCACGCCAACAGTGCAGCAACGTTGATGTCGAATCAGTCCGACAACTATCCGGCCGAAGCGCTGACTGCACGGTCGTGGCCTTGAAGAATTGATTGATGTGATACTCAGTGATACTGACAAGAAACTATATCCCAAACTGGTGATTTTCAGACTCAAAAAGTGGGGACGCACGTAAAAGGTGCCTCTTGGCACTCAAATGAACATGATGTTGGATGGTATGTTTATTGGCTTCATCAAGCTTACCATCCAACATTTAATCCTAAGATTAAGATTAACAATCCAACATCATCAAGTTTGTATAATAAACACTACTCTTCATCAAGCTTTAATCTTAAGATTGATAGTGGATTACAAACTCTATCGGAATTCCCGGTGTTGCACCGATTCCAGATTAGAACTTTGGGCAAAAACTTATGTTTGTTGGTCGATCTCTTTCCTGGTAACCAGTTGGTGATTTTGGCCAAGTGCAGATCTTCCATTTACCTCTCACCAATGAGTCTAGGTACGAATATAGAAGGAACCAGAGAGATTCAGGATGAAGGATGAAGCCCTAGAAGGAGCCCTTGAAACAAAGCTTGATCATGGAGCACCTTTGGCTCCAGCACCCTTAGCTGGCTCCTAGCAGCACCCCGCGCTTCAAATCCGCGCGTCCCCAAACTCCATGGTTTGGATCCGTCGAAGGGGGTTGTTTTCGTCGAAGGGGGTACCAATCAAGTTTCCAATGTTGCTGTTTTGTTCTTTTTGTTCCAGCTGCCGTCGTTTGTGACCCCACTGTTTTGGATAATTTTTGGAGATGGGATGGGGGCAACCTGTCTCGAGTACCTTCACACAAGCAGAAGGAACACTGTGCTTGCAAAATGTCCAAGTTTCACAGTGAGTATCAACCAGGAGAGGCCAAACGCTAATTTTTGCAGGTTCAACAACACCTGCTCTTTTTGAAATTGGTGCGTTTAGAGATTGCTTTGGGAAGCCACAGGGTGAGAACGCAGAAGGGAGACTGTAAATCAATATCAATTCTTGAAGGCCACACGTGCAAGAGTGTGAGCAAACGCGCTCACGAATCACGCCCAGTCCCTTGATTCATGCCAGCCGGTAGATGCAAGAGGTGTATGTCAATTCAGTTGGTGGCTACTCATGCGCAAACTTTACTCCTTCAAAGTATTCTGGACAATGGAACATATTCTTCAACAAAATCAACGGGGTGGAGGCCGGTCAAAGGTTTCACTTTTGTGATGCATCCAGCTGTTTCAGGGTTTTTGATCAGCACCTTAAAAGTGTTCTTATAAGTCTTAAGCAACATTGTGTCCAAATTCAAAGTGGACATAAAGCTACCAAATTCATGTTGATGGCATATTCGGACCAGATCCTTGCAAGGGTCACGGTGGTTGAAGCCATCACCAGCAGCAAATCAGGGAACAAAAGCTGCGTGCATTGCTGGACGCCTTGACAGGGTGTGCTGAGAGTGGGATTTTGTGATCAGGAGGTCGAGAACAAGACACGTTGCACATTGGGTAAATATACCTCTATTGGGTTCATTTGCGTTCAAAAAGAAAAACTGTTCAAAAAAAAACCTAACTTATATACTAACCAATCCATGTTCTTCGCGTTTGGTGCCAACTCACTCACTGAGACCCCCAAGGGCTCAAGAAAGCGCAGGCTGCCAACCGATCGGGGCCACATGGAGGCTGCGAACCAGGGAGGAACACATCTTGGACCAGTTTCAAGGCCAGACCAGTTTCAATTTCAATGAAATATGAGACCGTTTTGGTACGTTTGGGGCGGTAATAAAGTATTACACACCTTCAGCAGGGTTGCATCTTTTGAAGACACTTCACGGTGCACCCTTGGGCGCATCAAGTCAGGCGCGAAGTCTTCACGCCCGAGGTATGCCTTGGCCTTCTTCCACGCCGCCATCCTCGAACGCCGCAAGTTCGGTCCCATCGGCTCCTCGGCTCCACGGTAAGCGGTAGGCGGTAGGCGGCCGCGGTGGCGGCCGCAGTGGGGTGGAGTGGTGTGTGGTGTGTGGTAGGAAGAATTGGGATCAATCAGCCATGCCGTGAACCCGTACATGTTGGTCATAAGGAAGGTCATGAGGAGCTCTATAGATGTTGGTCACCAAGGTTTCCAGGAGCTCAAAGGGGATTGCGCGAATTTCACCCAACATAAGAACTGAGTAGCGTTGAGATGAGATGAGTACATTCGTTGGGTTGGCAAACTGAAGGGTGTTGGGGACTAGGTTCCTCTAACAGGCAGAACCTACGACACTAGCAGGGGGTACACCCCAAAGAGATTTGAGCTTGAAATAGACCTGCAGGTTGAGGGAGCCTCATGAAGTTTATGTGATGTCTTGATACTCTAGTAGATCGGTCACGGCATGTGGGATGTGAAAGGTCACTTCTTCTCTTCATGCAAAATATGTTAAGGCGCTGTTGATTGTTGACTTGCGACGTCACACGTCACACGTGGCGGAGCAACACACATAGATCGTACCGGTTTTTCGAGTCCAACGTGTTCAAGCGGGAAGGAATGGGTTCGCATGCAGAGTTGGAATGTTCTTATCCACAGATTGGGTCTGTCCTATTATTACCTGTAGCAGTCAGGTTTCACAAGCAAATCACTAGTTTTGAACAAAGCCTGCAACTGAACCATCATCATCCACTGGGCCCAGGTAGACTCGGCTAGACCCAATCCACAGAGATAAACATTTGTTCAACTTGCTACATCACCACCTATTGGAGGGCCACGTTGGTCCAAACACCTGGCCTTTTGCTGGCGTGTCGTGCCTTTTGGGTCACCAAATCCGAGGCATAGCGATCATATTCAAAGGCAGCACACCTTCTAGCTTGCATGTGCAAGCTAGGAACTGCGGAGGGTCATCGAAATTCCCACTTTTCTGCTGACTTCCGAGAACTAAAAAACAACACCTTATGGACACCCGGAGAAGTTGTTTGGAAAAGATGGTCTATCCTTGTCACGATCTACAGTCAAGGAGATGCAAGATGCATTTGTTGCTTTTACCTGCACGTGCTTCTCCAATTTCCTCAACATGATGGAATACCTCGAACATATTTGAGCTTAGTTTTGATCGCAGATTCTTTCCCATCTATTTCGGGTGGGTTGGTCGAAACTAGAGGTCCAAATTCCAGCCTTTGAACGGCTGTTACATTGGACCCTTCCTTTCCAAAACGGCTGCAATGGACGTCGGTGCGCGACGCGGTGATCGCTGCCCTCAGGTTGGAACGTGCCCTACGAGTGGATGGACAGCGACTTCCAGGCGACAGCGACGTTTTCGGAGCGGACGAGGAGTTGGGGCAGGGGTGGTTGAGGTGAGGTGAGTTGAGGTTTTAGCTTTTTTGTTTAGTTGACTTGATATAGCTATATATAGATACATATTCCAGGTCTTTGCAGTGTCTTAAAAGTTTAGTTGAGGTGTATAGATACATGAGCAGATAGATATATATATATATATATATATCCTTGGAGTGTTTTGGGGAGACCGTGAGAGACCCAGCCATGGGCCCCAGCACCCTCGGTGCAGTTGGCTCACGGACCCACGGCAGTGAAAAGGGAACCTAGAGGATGACTTTTGGTGATTTATTGTGATTTATGGAGTTGTATTTTGAGGAAACAGTTGTAATACAGGAACATCAGTGGTCTGGCCCCTTGCCCGGGGTCAAGTATGATTGTCAGCGATTGGCCCATGTACATTTCTTCGTTTCAACGCCTTCACAAGAAGCTTGAGAGGACCGTTTCAAAGTGAGACCGGGGCGAAGCTTATAGGGACTGGGGACGATTGGCCGCCCCGGCAAGGTTGCAGGACCCCAGGTGAAGATGCAAAACATCGATCCTGCAGTCTTTGAGACATCTCTGCAATGTGCTTCCGCGGGTGCTCCAGATGTTCTACTCCGATCTCTCACGGACGGAGATCAGGGGAAACGATCCAGCCACTCCATACCGATACCCCCTTTCCCTCCCATCTGAAGAGATGCCTAACACCTGAAGTGCGAAGGCTCATCCTGTTTCACACCCGTTGGTTTCGAGTCGTCCGGTTTCACCGGCTCAGGTTTCGAGGGAACAGGTGCGGAGCAGATGGGATGTGGCGAAGATCGGATCTACTTTTGAAGGCAACACACTTCTCATCTCACTTGGTCTTGCTATGTTTTGCTAGTGAACTTGTTCCCCATCGGTAGTGCAAGAGCCGTATTTTTCTGGTCAACTCTAAATCGACATCAATAGGCATAAGTAGCACCTGCCGCACTTCCAAAGACCCAAAGTAGACCATGTTTGGGTTGGTTAAGGGGTCAACCCTCGGACCAGAGAGTCGGATCTGAGAGTCGGACGTCCTTATTGATTGGACTCAAAAGAGTACATGTATCGCTTCTTGTGGTGTATCTCCAAACTGCAGCAAATATACCTCAGCAATTGTTCTGAGCACCTGGAAAAACCATCAGTCGTCATAGTGTGGGAAGCTTGAGAACTCCCTCAACTTTACCTTCAACCGCTCGAAGTTCAGAAAACAAGGCAGAAGGGGGGGAAGTCATAGTCATGAGGACTCCCAGAAGCCTCGATGCACAACACCAACAAAAGCAAACACGACGACGAGAGAACCACCGGCTTCTGTGCCGACCTCGAGGGCATCTTAGTTGGGCATGTGGTGCCCAACTAGACAATTAGGGGGAGAAAGAAGCCACCAATACGACTTTACATTTTGGGCAATTTCCGGGGCTTTGTGGGCTCGGATTAACTAGAGGGGGTTTATTAATCCAGACTTTACATGATTTGCTGATCCTAGGTTGGGTCGATGGAGAGCTCTATGGAGATATTGTGCCACTTGGGGTTGGGGTTGGAGAACTGTGTCCAAAGGTGACCATTTTGTTCTTTTGAACCTGTTTCCGATCTCCAGACCCGCAGATCAGGTGCAGATGTACTTGGAATCTCAACCAGGAGTTCCTTGGATCACCCTGAAGTATATCATCGCTGAGGTGGGTGAGTCGAATCGACTGATGGTGGGTTGCTGCATATGCACTTCTTGAGAGCAGAAACCCGAGACTGGGCTACCAATTATGAGACTGGGTAACTTTGACACCGGGTGTCGAATTTTTTGTTGCTTCCATTGCAGGTGTGTACTGAATTTGCGTTGCTTTTGTTGCTGGCTCTCATTCTACAGCATGAAAGGGTTTTCACCATGTCTTCAAAGGCATGTGGAACGGAACTACAACAAGGAAACAGGCACTTCGTGTGACAGTGAGCTGTGCTATGCTGCACACTTGCAATTTCGAGGTGCACAGGGTGCGCGCGTCATGGTCCCCGGCTGAGCCTTGCTGGCTCAAGAGAATGATAGCTCAACAGCGAACGGTCGATGAAATGCTAAGATCCAGTGAATGTTAAGATCCAGTGTTTGAGCATGTTGTGGTCAAGCGCTGTGAATTCCTCGCACGATCTTGTCATATTTGGAACGGATTGAAGAAGGGACTGAAAGCAAGACTCAGACCTATCAAGACCCTTCTGATAGGCTTGAGTTGGAGACACAACCAAGGACTGCCTAACCCAAACGGTTTAGATTCTTCCAACCCACAGGTCGCATCAGGTCGTTGGAGCTCTTAGACTCGGCTGGTATGTGAGGTTTAGTGTGTCACAAGCTGCTCAATCCCGTCGCTTGTGGGGATTCTTCCAAGTCTCCCACAGACATGAGGCACGTCCCTTGCAACGCTTCTGGAGAGGGGTGGGAGAGGTGTTCTTGCACCCGTTGGTGGTGCACGACCACTGAGCGAGCAAGTCTTTGGAGAGACTCTGAGTCTTGTGAGCAATGAAGACAATGATCTACCAGTACAAGACAGGCTACGCACACCTCCTGGGTGTCCTGTTGATACTGGTCTTCGCCCTGAGGGGAAGACTGTTTTGGAATTAGGACTTTGGGTGGTCCGACTCCTTTCATCACATCAACCCCCAAAGAATTGGCCAGATTTTGGTCCATTTGACGAGAATGAATTCACCAGTGGAAAACAGGGTGGAAGGTCAGACCGTTTTTGGGGTGGCGCCTTGGTGCCTCTTCCTCCAACACTCCGTTGATCATTGATCCCGGTCGAAGGTCCGACGATCGCCGACTCCACAACGAGAAAGACCAGCAGCGCAGCTGGTGAGTTCACGTGGTTTTTTCATATTCTACCTTTGTCCTGGGTGATTCCCAATTAGTTGTTCATTCAGATTGAAACGGCCAAGTCCAAAAGAAGTTTGCGTGACACATTCCGTGCGGCCAAGTACAAAGACTTGGTCCATTGTGGGACCATAGGTCTGGCATGTTCTGGCCATGTGTAATGCCAATTAAGACAAATGGAGAACATTAACACCTAAGAAGGGAAGGAAAACAAAAACAGCAATGGTTCAGAGGAAGATGGAAAGAGCATGCATGAGCATGCACATGTATAGCAGATGTTTATAGATGTTTCCTAATACTACAGGGCATTGTTTTCCCATAAACATGCATAATTTACATCAGCTGCGAGGTCCGGTGGTTTCTTTCATCGCCCCTTCTTCCCCCCAACGTCCTGACTCATCCCTCGCTCGCCCTCCGTCGCCCCAGTGCAATGTCGGGGCTTTCCGTGGCGGACGCGGTGGTGCTCACCGCGCGCGCCGAACAGGACAGTTGTCAGTGATTTTTTATTGTTCCACGGCCGGGTTGCAGCGATAGTAGGAAGTCCAATGTGTTATGTTTTAAATAGATTATGGGACACCCTACGAACCTGGACTATGGTCATGGATGTGTTTTCGAGTTGTAGCTTTTGGAAGCTGGGCATGAGGGCCCTAACACACACACACACACACACTTCTGGCTGCTGGCAATTCTTGTTTTTATCTTGTTTTGTGCGTGTTGATTGCTGCGCCTTGCTTGCGGTCTTCCTTCCGTCTGTTTGCATGTGTTTTAGTGTGTCAGTGGTGATTACATGGCCGGACCGCTGTTTGTTTCGGATCCGTTGTGCTCGACAAAACCCAGATCGTTTTGTTGAAGTACGTGCCTATGTTCGATTCTCAGTTCCTTTTTCTCCACAGGCATTGGTTTTGCCGTCATATTCCCTTTTGTTCTCGAGTTTTTGTCACTGCTTTGTTTGTTTTCACTCGTCGCTTCTGAATAGATTGCTCTTCTTAGCTAGGGTGCCATGATACCCGTCTCTCTGGCACTTTCAAACATACGCTTTCATTGTGGGCCTGATCTGAAAGCTAGTGGAACTAATAGAATTGATTTGGGATTTGCTTTATCTTGCATTGGTGCAGCTACAGAGCTTGGCCTCGCCTGATTTGACCACTTATATTTTGCAAACTTGTTTTCTCCGACTTCCTGGAGATTTGGGCATTCGCGCAAAGTTTAGACATTGGTCGCATACAAGCATGTATGTTCTGTTTATACGGTGGAGCCTAATATGTTCCTTTGTATTGCTCATAGCGTTCCTGCTGGGGTATTCAAGGCTGCAGAACGAGACTGCAGAATTAGACGTGCTGGATGACACTCAAGATTGCAGACTGTGAGCAGTTCTTGCACGCAGTTTGATTGGACATGAAAAGTGTCTTGAACATATGCGGGTGATTATGCCTGTCACAGCACCAGTGCCAGTGCAGATGCAACTATAAACTGCAAGTGTTTGGTCGCAGATTTGGTTGAGTGACCCTGTGTATGATGCATGGACCCAACCAACTAGGACGATGCGCTTGAAATTGTGACATGAAGATTGTCCATCGTGTGAGTACAGGATAGTACATGCCTTTTTCTTCAGAAAATTTGATTACTTATATATGTATTTCCTTGCAAGGAGTAAAGAACAGGTCAGCTAGAGGGGCCTGCCGTTTTTTTGTGTCTAGAAACAAGCCCCTCGAGTTTTTATCCATATTCTTGTTCTGCTTTGGAATGTGATTGTTGTAAGGAGTTTCACAGCCCAGGGGTGAGGGATAACTTGTATCCATGGCCAAGACCACCCAATAGACGGGAATGCACAGGATCAGTTGAAGAGTATCACCAAGCTCTGTATGGAAAGGCTGGTTGAGTTTGATTGGTCCTGGATTTGGGCGGAAGGAAAGACCGGGATAGCTGAAGTTCTTTCCAATTGAATGAATATATAATATATATATAGACTCCTCATGTCTATTCTATGTCCGGGTCTGAGCAAGTCCAAGGTGTGCAATGTGGTCCCCTCGAATGTTCCGCACCCACCTTGTTGGGTTCGGCGAAATCGGTTGGAACGGTTTGACCCTTCGCCATGTCCCGTCGTGCTTCGTCCGGTGACGACGAATCACGCTCGGATACGCTCGACTCTCCGTCGCTGGCAGTGCACAGTGTCGTGCTGTGCTGCCAGTGTCTTGCGAATGAGACTGTGCAAGATCCGGAATCCCTTTTGATTCAAGAGGTGGTGGACATATGGACAGAATGTAATGAGTTGTAACAAGTAACAAATGAAGTGTTTTTGTGTGAGTTTTCTTTGCTAGATCTCACTAGCCTAAGACCTGTGCTATGACCCTGTCGTCATCAAGATGTTATCATGCAAATCCAGAGGGTAGGATGCACTATACGATTGAATTCAGAAAACTCAGAAGCAGATGAAACAGGCACCCTGCAGAACGTGCACCACCCCCCATAGTATAAATCATGTGAACTCGTTTGAAAGCCCTGTTTGTAGAAATGCATGTGTACTCGGATGCCCAAGAACATTCCATTTGATTAAATACGTACATTTAAAGACCTTGCCATACTTGGGCCGCCGAAAAACACGAGAAGGGGCGGAGCGCGGAGCCATACTTGGGCCAGGTGCTCAGACACGGTGAAGCCGGAGGAGGCGGAGCGTGGGCGGAGCGTGTTGAGAATGTTTGAGCCAATTGGGTGTGTATTGAAATAGGGAGACCTTCGAAAGACACCCTGGAAGAGGAAAATACAGCAAAACCCATTGGTTTAAAATACACTCAAATCTCTTATACTTGTCATACGAATGAGGGGATCGTGTTTTTGCTTCCGAGTCAACTTGAATAAGTTGGTTTTGTTCCAGATCCAAGAAAAGTGAGCAAACTATTCTGCGGGGGTTGCGCAATACAGAGTGGACAGGATCCACCCTTTTCTAGTGGTATGTTTGAAGGGTTTGGAGTTTAGATGTTTCAACCAAGAACATATGCTGTCATGCTGGTGATTCAGTTCCGAAAACTAACAACAAACAAAACTAAACTTGTCAGCAAGCAACCATGTGCACATTGAACATTACATTTGGGCTACAAGAAACTGACCCAACAGACTCTTGATTTCGAGTGACCTGTGCGGTGAAAAAAACATGTCCAGCAAAGCTGACCTGGGTCTTTCCTGGCGAGGCGAGTCATGGCCTTTTAACCATTATCGGTCAGTTGTTTAACAGAGCGGACACCCGGGAGTCCCCTAAAATCTCCGAAAGTGAAGAACCGAGTTTGGCACATGGTGCCTCGCACCGGGCCCTCTATGGTTCCCCCAAAAGGACGTCATTGTGACCGACCTCTTCTTGTCCCTTCCGTCTCGGCCCCACAAAGGCCCTTGGCAGCGATGGCTTGTCGGACCCCACCCGGTCCGGGAACCGGCGGTGGAACGTTTAACGAAGAGGCTGTGTGTGAATTTGGGCGTGTGTAAAGAGGTAAATTGTAGTTTGGAATGTAAAATACATACATACAGTATACCAGGTACATCGAAGGGGTGTCCATTGGGCACCCCTTCAACCCTAAACTCATTGGGCTCCCCTTAAGATTTCAAGGTTTGGGAAACTCTGGTTGAAGGATCTTGGAGTACATTTCATTCAAGCCAGGTGGAACCATCCCATCCAACACCGGTGGCTAAGGGCAATCTGTGGTTCCAGCAGCCTGCCATCGAGGTCCAGCGGGCGAATCACATCACGATGGAGGCAGGATTCTTCACACCACAAACTTCACAAACACGCCACAAGACTCGAACATTTCCAACAGTTCACCACAAATGTCCAAAGCACTA